ACAGAGTTGTCTGCTTTAGGCGTATGAATTCTTTTGCTTATTAAATCACATAATAAAAAGGAGTTAATGATGATCTTTTAAATGACCTTTGTTAGGTCATGAACCGGCTGCTTACTTTCAAGAATTCAGCCCTGGCATGATTTAATTCAGTCACCACGAGGATAAAAGCAATTTGACAAAGATGACAGGAAGCACTGTGTGCTTGTTCTAAATACGATGTGCCCAACGTGAACCAAGCACAAACAGACCTTCTGCTTTCCTTAACATTCGCAGCGTATAATCAGCAAAGCCGCATATGACAACACTATGAGTTCATGAGACCGTATGATGATGTGATATGTCAACAATGTAAAAGCTAACTCAAATGGTTAACATTCAGAGACTACATGTTCTAGTAGTGCTTTTTTATCACATCAAATATTACGAAACGGTCAGCTAATGTACAGAACAAGCAATATGTTATCAGAAAGTATAATAAAAAATGTGGTTATGATCTGAGAGGAGAGCTAAAAAAGAAAAAAAATAGGGTGAACAACAAAGAAGAGCTGGTTCAAATTAACCTGTGCAGTGAATTTGTGGAATAATATGGAGAAGTTTTTTGAAAATGTGCACAAATATAAATCAGTCTTAAGAAATTATACATGGAAAAAAAAAACACTTCTAAATCAGTATATGGAAGCAGAGTATTAAATCTTAAACTCTGCGTGGATATTTGGGTTGAACACTGTGAGGTGATATGATGGTTATACTGTGCATAAAGATATAAAAATATTTTTAGATTGTTGTATAGGTACATTTATTTATAGATACAGGTATATATTATGCTCTATAACCAAAAACAGACATGATTTAAACAGGAAGTAGGAGTTGGAAAGCATTTGCTTCCTTCTACTTCTTTTCGAACAGGAAATGGTCAGTATTTTATGGGGGATCAGTCTGTGGAGTTTATTTAATATAATGGCTTCTTTATTTCATACCCATTTTTTAATATTTATTAACATCTGTTACTTATATGTTGGAAATAAAGATTTCATTCCTTTTATTCATTCAAATATGAGATGAGAGAGATGATGAGATGAGATGAGATAGCCTTTATTTGTCAGTTGCAGGTCTTTTGCCCACAACCGAGATGACAGACCTTGCCGACCGTACATACAATACACAAACATCACATTGGGGAGACGGGTCAGGCTAGGTAGCGAGGAAAAAAAACATTGAAATGTGTAACACAAAAGGATAATACAGGAATGCACAGATACGACTAACTAACTTCGAGCTACAAAGACAGCACAGCTGAGGCTGATGGTACTGGAATTTATTTCAATAATTTTGGTCACAACTTAAGGACCAGGATAAGCTGAGAGGTGAATCTGATGATGGAGCCAAAGGAAAAGCAGTCTAATCATATATTTGGTTTGTTGATACTCCAACCAACCAACTGTACCATTACTAATATTGAACACCATAATTATGCTAATTTGTAGTACGAAAACTCTTGAACAATTATTAAAGCATGTTTCTAATACTTCTAAGAAGCTACTATGCATTTTGGCAGGATGTGGGTTTAACCACCTCGTTATTTTTTTTCTTGGTATCAAACTGGAAGTAGAGTATAGCACACTACTGTAGGTTAATTCCTCCTCAGCCGCCTGGAGTACTGCTTAAAGTTCATATTCCAGAGATTGGGGGACGAAACCCCAATAATACAGCATGCGAGCCTTCGGCCTGCGTTTCCATGCAGCAGGCTCCCAGCGTCTCCACCATGCCCTAAGTCGTCTATCTTTTCATGAATCACCACTGCTCTCCCAAACACAGACAGGCTTCCAAACAGTGTTGCATCAGATTCTAGCATTGTATTAATCTTCCCTTGCTGGGGCTCAAAGTTTCCAAAGTCTCCAGGGTGGTTAGGGTGATTTACACCATATGGATTGTAGTGGCCACCGGTGGAGTCACATCCCCGGCTCAGGTCTCCATACTGATGGATGTGCACCGCTCTGGGCTCCGGACTGCCGTCTCTGGGGAAGCCACTAAACCGGAGAAGGACCTTGACTTTCTCCTGAGGATGATCCTGCTTGAACAACACATGGCCGTACACTTTGGGCAGGTCCTCCGGGAGAGAGGTGCTGGGTCTCACCTTGCAGACTGCATACAGGGTGCCGTTGTTCTGCAAGACCTCTGGAGCCAATGTGTCGCTGGATGCTAAGACACATTGTTGACAGCCTGCCAGCAAAACCAACAAAGCAGCTTCCAGTATACCCACTGACCTGTAAGATATAAAAAAAAAATGAGGACAAGACCCCTCTGGCATGAAGGACAATTAGTGACTATAGACCAATTAAGGTAATATCTAGATTGTTCACCTTGGTAAAAAAAACAAAACAAAAACGTCCTGCTATTGCATTTCACAATACAGCAGTACGTTTGGAAATATTGTTATTGTTAAGAATCCACACTGGGGAAGCTATAATTATGTAATTATTATCGCTGACATGTTATGTAACTGCTAAAACTCAACTCTACACAGGGTTTAAACGAGCCTCTCTTATATCATAGAACAATTTTACATAATTTTTATTTACAATCTCCATCTGCATCTAGGTATAAGTTGTACTTTAATTTACATTAATGTAAAACTTCAGTGTTTCTAAGTCTGAGGACAAAGTGGCACTCAAAAGCTCTCAGTTAATGTTTTTCTGACGATGTTTTTAGGCGCACACAACATCGCCCGAAAGTGGTTAACTACAGACTAAATGTCGCAGGAATGCAAATAAAGTTAAGTACACAGTGCCAAACAAAGTCCACTTACGCGTATCGATGCATGGTCACCTGTAAAAGGCGCAGAAAAGGCTGTAAATTAAACGTAATTGTTTTCACAAGCCGAGCGCTCCAGTCTGCAGGGTGAGGATGCAAAGCGTTTTCAAACAATGTTGTGTAAACTCTTGTGAACAAATGGGCGTTGCTGTTTGGCGAGGGTGGAGCAAGGGACTTGACAAGTCTTTTGATGATTTGATGAGTAGATCTCGAAATATTCGACCCCGTTACATTACCGTTCAGTTTGTGGGTAACAACAGAAAATGAAATATTTTATTGTTCTCACGTGGTATCACACGGAGTCATTTTAACAAACCGAGGACGTTTTGCCTGATAAGAGCATAATCACGTCTGTGTAAACTCGATTCATAGAAACCTTAACGCTCAATGTACCACGTTCTCCAAGTTTGTCCGTGATTTGGGAGAGGACGCAAACTGACAGGGTCAGCCTGATGTTGCTTGTGTCGCACTTGTGCCCATTATTATTATTATTATTATTATTATTATTAAAAAGAAAAGGGAAGCACGGAGCCTATGAAAACTAAGTACATCTATTACTGCTCCCACAGGAATTAAGAGCAGCCAGATGTTCCTAATCAAATACACTTGATAGTCAATCGCCAGAAAGTTTGAGCACCTCCATAAAAGCCAGTTTGTTGGTCTGGAGCATTCAGGTGCCGCAGTCTTCCCAGGAGTGGATATCCCAGCAAATGTATACATAAGTTCATAAATGTATTAAGAATAAATAGCTAAATAAAACAAGAGCAGTTAGCATGTTAAATGTTTACATTCATGGCAATACAAATAGAAAAAGCCTGAACAAGTATGGCTTGTTTGGAAGGGTGTCAAGGACAAAGTGTCTTCTTTCCAGGAAAACCATGACAGCACAACTTAGGTTTACAAGGCTGAACAAATCACAACTCCTGTAGAACAATGTCCTTTGGACAGATTGGAGCAGAGTGGAGATGTTAGGCAATAATGCAAAGTGCCACATTTGGTGAAAACCAAACATAGCATATCAGCACAAACACTTCAGGGGTGATGAGGGGTGATGATTTGCAGTAGTTTGCAGCCACAGGGCCTGGGCACCTTGCAGTCAGTTGACCATGAAGTCCTCTGTATACCAAAGTATTCAGTAGTCAAATGTGAGCCCATCTTAGCCAAAAAACTGATCATGCAACAGGACAATGAATCCAAGGAGACCTGCAAATCTACAGCAGAATGTCTGACAAAGTAAAGAATCGTAGTGTTGCAATGGCCGGTGTGGTGGGACGTTACGAGAGCTGTGCATGAACCAATGAATGCAAACCTCAATGAAATGAAGCACTCTGCAGAGTCGGCCATAATTCCTCCACAGTGATATATGACACTAGGACTTTATAGATCTTTGCTTAGGCTGCTGCCCCCGCGACCCGGCCCCGGATAAAGCGGATGAAGATGGATGGATGGATGGGACTTTATAGAACCCATGGGAAAACCTTTCATATGACTTTAAAGTAGAATAAAAAATATTTTTGATCTATGCTCAATCATCCAGGTAAGTAAATCTGTACTGTTTATAAGGTTTCGGTGGATGAGTGACAAAATGTTTCTCCCACTGAAAACGTTACATCCATATGAACACTAAAAATATATATATATAATTTTGTTAACTGTAATAGATTAGGCCTAGAATTTTCCCCCA